CCCCCCCCCCCCCGCGCTCGCCAATCATCTCAAGCCATGAACCACGACCGGCATCATTCTACGTCCCCACTCAACCCAAAACTGGGGAACTGTATCAGCTGTGATATCTGAAGCCTCCAGGGGTCTCATGTCCCCCCCTTCCCGATACTCGCCATGGAGACGTACAAATCCCGATGATAAATACTGCCGATCGATTGATTTCTCTTCCCTGACAAATGCCAATACACAGAGAGACCTTCAATATTCTGCCATGGCAGGGCAGGGGGGCTCAGGCGCATGGCCGAAGCGTACGCATCCAAATCTAATGACACTCAAGCTCCATCCAGCAGCATTGTGTCACCGAGACAGGAAGTGGAGGAATCTATTAACGGGGACACAACAGCTCTGAGTATCTGGGCCGAAGGTTAGAAATCAACTTTAATCGATCCCGGTCAAACCCCCACATTTCCCCCGTCGGGGACACCTCCCTCTACGTCTGCAGGACTGGACTGCTACCGTCTGTGAAGACAACGCCAGATATCAGGGGACTGCGAATAAGGAGAATGATGGAGTGTGGCCAGGCCGGTCCTGTCTGCACAGCGACAGCGTGTTAGAAATTCTCTACTGAACGCTCCCACAGAAGAACGCACACGGCTGGTGTGAATAAGCCCCGACGCACACCGCCCTCAGCTGCAGCGCAAGTTAGGGTTTGCTGTCAGCGGGTGGCGCATGCCGGAAATTAAACCCCCCGCGGCAGCTGCAGAGAGGGGAAGTCTCAGCGCAACAAACGTCCCGAGGGACTGACAAGAAATGCGTTACAGTAAAGCATGCAATCCAGCTTACTTCCTGCCGATTGGACGCACCTTATTTTGGGTCGGCCTTTTGCCCTGCAACCATAGGGAGACCATCTTGATTCCTGATCTGTTCAAAGCCGACACGTCAAGCCTTACCTGTGTGCGGAGGCCGCGCCTCCCGAGAGATCTCCGCTTCCTTGAGGGCCCATTCACACTGAGGCGTGCCGTTTGGTTCATGTGGCCCTCAATAGAAACGCGCCAGCCTAATATTTCTCAGCACGCCACAATGCGACGCGTTCCTCATTACACGCATTGCGGTGTGCCGAGGGCCCATGTGCGTTTGTTGGGTCCATGCACAATAACGTGCACGCAGCAGTGCGGAATGCGGCTTTAGGGTATAAGCCCCGATTACAGGTCAGTGCAGTCGTTACAGTGACCATCATGTGACCACGTCTTGGCTCTACGGGGAGGGCATGGCTTGCACCCCATGTGGTTTGCCCTGGCCGCACTGACACCAAACCAGGGAGGGGCCCCATACCTGTCACATCAGAATATTTATTCCACACGGAGCGCCATGAGGATCAGTCAGGACTTCAATAGAAATATCAGGATGGAGGTCGGAGGTCAGGGGTCATTCTGAATTAGGTTTCCCTCGCACACCATACTGGAGCCAACCATCGGGTCACAGCGTATAACATGGGGAAGATGTCTGCAGCACACCGACAAGCACCATCACAAAGAGGAGCAACGTTTCAGGACCTCACCGGGGGCCCTTCATCAGGCAAGTGGCCCCCAAAAACATCACTCATCTACGTGATCATGCAATAAAAGGAACTGTGAAGCGCGTCGGTGGGCTGACGACAGATCTGACTTCTCTGAGATCACTCATCACCCAGATAAGTTGCGTCTATGCGTTTTCCTCCATTTCGGCTGGTCGCTATGGTAACAGTGGAAGTCATCAAACTCTCCACCGGCGGTCGCCAAACTCCTCAGGATGAGGTCACCAACCTCCCAGAATCCTCTTACAATGGCGGCAATTAGGAGGACGTGATGGAGGTCTGTGCCGAGGGAGACCGGAGAACACAGCTGTGCACAGCAACCAATCAGCTTCTCCCTTCAGCTTCTTCATTAAAGCTTTGGAAATGAAAGCTGGAAGCCGATTGGTCGCCTCGCACAACTGCTCCAGCCACAACCGGAGTGTAGAAGGACTTTTACCCTTTGGCCGGAGTTGGGTTCTAAAGGGAATCTGGTTTCCATCTACATGTGAATGTGACTGATGGGTGAATGTACCATCAGTGTGGAAACATTTTAGGAAACGTATCGCTGTGTGCTGATTCACCTGAGTGGATGTATTCACTGCAAACATTCACAGACTCCACTCCCTGCCCAGAAATGTCGCCCTCTTCCTCTCTCCTAACACAAGTGTACATCAGATTGCTCAGCGGCTGTTCAGCAGATATACTGACTGCACCACCTCATGTACAGAGCACAACTATAGAGAGAGCCATGAAAATATGGAGGAGCGGGAACATAGAAACATGAGGTCACATGACACATCCTGATAAATGTAACAACGTCTCCGAATGTAACTGGATACAATGTATCTGTAGTGTGTCAGAGTCCGGAGGGTGAGAGGATACAGGATACAGAAGTGATTCGTGAAGATGATGGACACGAAGGACCATAACCCGTCTATTGTAACACATTGCCTGGACTGGGGGGCCACCTGGTGGCCAAACACTAGAATGCAATCTACACCATTCACAGAGCCAGACCACGAGATCAGCCGAAGGACAACAGACCCCCATTCATCCATCACCCATACAAGACCAATCATGAGTGTGAAACCCCCTCAGTTACATTTAACTCTTGAGTTCCTGGGTCTGTACACCCGCTGTGCCCATTATGAG